AATATCCCACTCCTGCATATTAACTTTATCTCCAAGCTTTACACTGGAAGCGTCAGTGACAAAGAGATTACTAGACAATGTGGTTTCCTTCAACTGTTAAACCCAGGTGATGTAATTATGGCAGACAAAGGGTTTAATATACAAGACTTATTAGCAATACATCATACAAGGCTACTTGCACCACCCATAATGAAAAAAGGCTGTATTAATGCCAAATCATCAATAGCAACGAGAAGAATAGCGAAGGCAAGAGTTCATGTGGAACGCATAATAAGAAAGCTTAAATGCTTCTGCTTTCTAAGAGGCACCATCCCATTGTCATTTAAACCATATTTAAATTCTGTTCTCAAAGTGTGTGCTGCTCTAGTAAATTTGCAGCCAGCAATCATTCAAAACAAGACAGATGATGATGATGGGCTGAGTTTCATGAACAGCAGTGATGATGAGTGTGATGATGATGAGTGTGATGAAGATGATGATGTATGTGATGATGATAATGAATGTGCATGATGGTGATGATGATGAATGACAGCAAAAACTAATGTATTTTATACTTGACTTTTATATGTGAGGGGACACAGGAAAAGGGACCTATAAAGAATTTAAACAATTCTGATAAATCATGAGATTATTCAGAATCAATGTTGAAAGTGAAATTGTTTTTAATACAGAACTAATATGAAGCCGGGCGCCTCGTTTAAGTGGGCCAGCCCAGCAAACCAGGCTCATGTAAACAGCAGCTAAGTTATAAATATAGCCCTGCCCCTAATGTATCAGAATTGATTAAATTCTTTCTAGGTCCCTTTTCCTGTGCCTCGATCCCCACATATGTAATAATATTTAATATTAACATCCTTGTGTGTGCTTCTGATTTTGAAAAGTGTTCAGCAAAAATGTCCTTGTTTCAGTGCGTGTTTTCTCAGCATCTGCATGTTTGAACCATTTGTGCTCTTTAGCACAATATTCCTCTGGTCCTGACTCATACATGTCCAAGTCCTTAAAGCAAATTAGGAAGGAATGGTGTTTACTTTCTTGAACTTCTATTTGGGTTGGTAAAGTTATTCAATTTCTTAAAATCGTTTGAGACCAAACTGACATAATATATAAGTTACCTGAATAAAGTACTTCAGAAACTTTGCAATGTAAATACCACAATTGTTGCTATAAGGATGTTGTTGAGGGACCTAGAAACATTCATAAGTGATACTAATTTTTCTTTGGCAAATAAATAAACATTTACTTATTGAATGTATACCTTTAAAACCTTGACTTCCATATTTTGGTGTTTCTTCGGAAGTGAATGTTTTCCAGTCAGGTAAATAAGGTAACTATAAAATAAAATTACAAACAAGATATAGACATGAAATGTATAAACAAGCAAATTAATAAGCCATTACACCCACTTACTTTAAAATCAGACTAATTTCAATTTTTCTGGTTGAAACATCCCAGGTGAGAGAATCCATGATAATTACCTGTTGAGAAGTCACATAATAGACAATATATTTAACAATTAGGTTTTTATTTCATTCAAAGAAATCAGTCATGAAGCCATTAAAAACAAATCAACAGCTCATTACCATGGGGTCAAGGTAACTAATAACCAATGGTACCTACACAAAATAATGGAGCAAAAAACAATTATATTAGTACATATACTACACAGCCAAAAATGCCCCAATTGCAACAAGCTTGTTGACAACTTGCATCAGGCTTCTGATGCAAGTTGTCAACAAGCTTGTTGCAAGTTGTTGAGAACAGACTTCAGTGAACAAGCTCGATGCAAGTTGATTCATCAACTTGCAACAAGTCTGCAAATGATATTAGTTGCAACAAGCTTGATTTTAAAAGGCTTGTTGCAACTTGTCGACAATTTGCAACAAGCTTGTCAATTTCATCAACTTGCAAGAAGCCTGTGGTTTTTGGTTGTGTATAGTTGTTGGCATATATATCACAACATTTAATATTGATATACCTTCTGTTTATGGGAATAAATATGTATTCATCCAACAGCAAATGTGGCCCAAAAAACATCTCAGCAGTACTGTTTCTTTCATATCTGTGCAGTAAAACATAAATAATGTAAGGTTAGCAATTATTTGTCTAATAATTTAATCTGTTAAGCACTGGAAAAGGAACCAAGAAAGTTTTATACCTAGAAGGTTTCTTCTTTGCTTGTTCACCAGACAATGTGGTGAAAAAGAACGTACTGATGACAGGGTAAATGCATTTTTCTTGTCTGAAATTAGAAGACCAAAATATAGCATGGACAGGAGCATTGGAACCTTTCAAATATTGGGGGGGGGGGAATCAGGCGCCGAGCGAAAAATGTTTTAACTTTAGCAGTCTCTAGACAGCCAGAATGGTTAGTAGGGCTTGCGCGTTGTTGTCAGTGAATTGCATATTCATATATTAATGTTATGCCCGACGGATTTCTTTTGTTTCTAAGTTAATTTCAAAAGAAATTAGTTGGGCAGAACATGAATATATGAATATGCACCCCCCCCCCCAATTAACGTTCTAGCGACGGCCCTGGCCGTTTGAGAGTGTTAAGTAATTCTTTTGGTGGGCTTGAAGTATTATTACTATTCTAATACTACACCCTTTTTTAAAAATTCGGCATTAATTTTTTTTTTTTGGGGGGGGGAAAGATATTTAGGCCCCCTCATATAATATTGGGAGGGGCCATGCCCCCCCCCCCCCGGCCTCCCGCTTCCTACGCCCCTGAGCACAGATACAGTGAAAATATTGATAGCTTTATCAGAAGTGATCAACTCATGCACTGCTACTTACTCAAATAGATATGAAACAATGTTATCATTGACCATTGTGCAAGGAAGAAGTCCATCAATACATTCCTGATAGATATCAATTCCAGAAATGCTAATACTTTTAGCTGGTGTTGTTGTTGATTGTGTAGAGTAACCTTCCAGATTGCTACATCCCTTGGGCAATATGTCAGTCTTTTTTGGAGGAATGTCAGGGTCATCTTTTTGAAACGGAACCTCTTTCACAGCAGTATTTGAAAAAGCCTGACCAACTTCGTTACCTGTATTTGAATAGGTTAGCATGTTAGTATAATTTAAATGCATAACAAATTGTACACAATGCATGTTTTACCTGTTGTCCTGTCCAAACCATTTATTACAAGCATCATAGATGGTAATATGTGAGATATCCAGAACTCTTCCAATTTGACAATGACAGAATTTATAAATTCTTCATTGAATGGTACTTTAACAACAAACACACCAAGCTTTGTCCAAACGACCAGGTGGCATAACATGAGACTGCATACAAACATCTGTAGTTGCACTTGATAATAGTACTTAGAGGTGGATTTCAAAAGGAAAGTATCTCCAACCTGTTCCCCACCAACTTCTGGGGTCAAGAAAGCTTCTTTTGGTGGTTTCTCTTTGTGCTTCCAGGGACATTTGTACTCAACAACTACTGAGTGGCAATCTTTACATGAACATGTTCGGACATTGTCAACACTAGCCCCAAGAAAAGATTTCCTACTTGAAATGAGAAAGCCCTTTGAATGAAGTTTCAAATCGTAATGCTGTTTCCTTTCAACTCTATAATACGCTTGTCGGGCACTTTCTTCATGCTTCAGCCCCCAATCACGAGCATTTTGTGGTTGTTTTGGCAGACAAGGCGTATAGGATGGGATGATAGGGTGAACAATATCTAAAACAATATTGCTGACTTTTCTATTTTTGCCTTGTTCCAAACTGGTTTGAATGGCATGTATTCTCTTGGCTTTAGATGCAGAAATAAAACCAGCTTTCTGAATAAACCATTCTTTGCATCTCCATTGCTTCAATGTATTACTGCTGGTGCATTCAATCTCTTTTTCAGTAAAGAATAGTTCACCATTTCTGATATCACTTGCAACTCTTTCAACATCAGTATTGTTTTTATTTAGCAAGTCATGTAGTTTCTTCTTCATTATACCATGTCCATCTTTTAAATTTCCCGCAGAACTCTCCTCACTTTTTTTTGCATTTGTTGTACAGTTTTCTTTAGATTCACTCCTCCAATCACATCTAACTTCTTTTTTATTTACATTTGATCCACTATCAGTCTCTTTGCTTGCAGAACGGTGAATTGTTTCTTTACTGTCACTGGGTAGGTATATCTTTTCTAATAAAGGAAGCAAAACTGGTTTGCCAGTACCATGAACGGGTTTGCCAGTACCACGAACGGGTTTGCCAGTACCACAAACTGGTTTGCCAGTACCATGAACTGGTTTGGTAGTACAATGATTATCTGCAGATAGTGCCTGAACAAACTTCAAACAAGACTGTAGACATGGGGGATTTCTGTCTTCTTCATTTCTTACATCAACCTCAATGTTTTCACAATAAACATGATACCTTTTCCTTTTCTTATACTGAACATTTGCTTTCTTGCTTGTATTTACTTGCTCACTTGTTTCTTCAACATTCTTTCTCTTTGAAGGTGAATTTCGTTTACCAATAAAAAGTTCCTTTATCTCACATGGTTTGCTACTTGCTGTTGGCCTTTTCACCCACTTACACGGTGCACTTGTTACACTATCCTCACCTCGAGTATTAAGTGTCTCCTCAAGTGAATACATAGCCGCTGCAATGTGTTTGCAGCCTCCATCTTGCCCACCTTTGCAATGACATTTCGCTTTCAGAACACTACCTCTATTCGGACCTCTTCCTTCTAATATAAACCAGAGTTCATAAAACTTTTTACCGGCGTCAGTTTTTTCTTTCATTGCGGGCCTCACTTTAGCAAAATATAAATGAACTCCTTCACCGGTCAATGTTTTGGTCCGTAAGGATTCTACGTAACCTTCCTCAAAAAGACGATAATCGTCGAAGGATCTGTAAGCTGCCAGACCTTGTTTGTCGTAGTCAGTTGTGTGGTAAATCAAATGATTAAATATATCATAAAGTCCAAAGGGAGGAGAGTCATTAAAATAATCTATAGCATCGTGAGAAATTGTGAAGGGGTCTTCGATTTCCATATCATGAATTATTAATTTTTTGTCATCGCTTTGGCATTCAAAATTTGGACCGACGGGGAGCATCATCGTTTGAACAGCATTTGCTATTTGTACCAAAGAAGACTTCAAATAACCCGTTACAGTCACACCGCGTGCTTGAAGATACTCCTTGAGCTCCAACATTGTCATATCTTTGAAATTTTTACGACTAGAAGTACTCATTATTAAAACCTTACCGACGATATTGTAGTTGTTTACATTTTACGTGTTTTACCCTGTGAAATACATTTACAAATCAGCCTCACTCGCTTTTGTTTATATAATTTTATATAATATGACCCGTTTGTTTGTCCGAAAAATTGTCTCGCGCGCGCACGTGTTACCCCCCGTCGACAGAGCGTGTAAAGTGTGGAGAACAATTAACCGATATTGTTTATCCAGTGATTGTAATGTAGGCATTGTAATAATACAGTACAGTAAAGAGTGCATCTGCTTGTGTAATTATATTTTGCTCAAATATTCTCTCATGCTATTTCGTATGCTATTGTCACGTGTACGAAGTGCGTTTTTATTTTTCAAAAAGGACTTAGGCAAAAATGTTAGTAAGCTATTGTAGTATTGATAATAATATGTAGTTGCTTTTTTCACACTTGAAATGAGCATGGCTATCGACCTTTAACTGTAACAGCGTATTTAACAAACAATGGTAACTAACTAAAGAAACAACTGATACTCATGCAATCTTGTAACCCTGATGCAATCTCGTGCGAGATTGTGTCTCTGTGACCCTGACATATATTACATGCATGGTATGTTGTTTGTGGTGATTTACCACTAAACAGTAGAACAAAAGTACCAGATAGATTCTTTTATATTATTCATGGTTTTAGGAACGCTATTTTCAGATGAACTATTGCAACGGATAGATGTTGTTTCGCTCAGCTTCTAAAAGTTGTACATTCTGTATCGGATATGTGCTTTTTCGCGCCGCTACGGAAAAGGTATCTGGTATAATGGAAACGTAGCCTAATATATAAAAATGTTAGATATAATGTCATTATACGGTAATGTTAAACTCAACATGAATCCTTCGGACTGTTTGTACAGAACCTCAAGTGAAAGTGAAACCATTGCAACCATAAAGTAATGCTATGTCCATGTTTTTCTTGAAATCTTCATACACGGTGTGCTTTTCAGGCAGTATTATCTTTTTGAAACAGGTCTCAGACAAAGGTAACACATTCACCCCACCATCATATGTAACAGAAAGACTATCTTGTTCTTGACGGATTGTGCTGCATCCAGTCCAGAATGAGAGGAGATCAACCATTTGTCCGCAATCTAAAACAATTCACCTTACTGTTAAATCTGGAATGCAAGGTGTATGAAATTAAATTATTTACAATTAATTTCCTATCAAGGTGTTTGCTTACCAGCTGTCCTTTGGTCCATTTCATTTATATACTTAAGAAAGAAGTCAGCAGTTCTGTTTGTGTTTGTGTTTTCGTTTGAATCTCTCCCTTCAAAGTTAACTTGAGGTATGACGTCAGAAGCTGGAACATATCTCGCAGCCTCCAAAGGAAATACGACGGCTGTCAATATATGGTTCTGTTTTAGGAAAGTAGTCAGTGATACAACGTCCATACCTAGAGTTTAGGGAAAAAGTCCAATAATTAAAAAAATATAATAGAATAAATGTTAACGAAAATAAAATCAGTCCGGAATCGCCCAACATACAACAGGTATTACTGAATATTGTCAAATATAGAATTTGAAAATGGAATCCACGACTGATTGTATTTTCGCATGCAATTTGTTACATCCAATTTCGCATTTTCTTTTCCCAGGAAAAATGCGAATCATAACATATATGCGAACTCATAAAAGTATGGAGAACGCCAGGCTCATAATTCGACTGTGTTTGAATAAGAAAATGGTTACCAGTTGCTAATTCATCAAGTTCTAAATGCCTTTTATCCAATACTTGATAGACCATCAATCCATGAACAATCACTTTTGGCTGTTTGGCAAGGTTATCAGGGTCCAGGCCAGCTTCGTACATGTATGGTTCAAGTTCACATCTTAACTCTGTTGGAGGATTATTGTTATTTGGTAATTGTTCCAGCTGAATAAGAAAAGTGTTTCAAGAATGATGTATTGCTGTAATGGCATATACTGTAAGCATTGTACTAGCCTTTAGTATTGTAGATGGATGTAATAAGTACTATTTAAAACACGGGTAGGAGTGTTTTATCAGATATATAACGCGAGGCGCAGCCGAGCGTTATATATCTGATAAAACACGACAACGAGTGTTTTGAATAGCTTAAAATACGACTACAAAAGAATACTAATTATGATGAACCATAGTATAATCATGCTAATTAAGATGAACGATTATATAATGCCACATGTGTTTTATCAGATATAAAGTCATTCCACGTGACATATTATGGCTGACATGATTTGCCACAAGGTTTATGAATTATTAATGAGTATTTTAAATCTATATAAATGACCGTATAATCCCATGCACAGTATATTGGCATATAAGATGTCAAAGTTTTTGTGAGAACAGTATGAACTTTGCAAAAGTAAATTCCTCATTGTGGAGGATTTGTAAGAAATATAAGAGAAGCAGCTTCCATATAAACACAATGTGGAAAATACTATATATATATATATATATATATATATATATATATATATATATATATATATATATATATATAAAATAATCATTTTTAATCCGGAGAATGTGTATATACTGTATGTCGGGATTACGGTCATTGACCCGTAACATTAAACACCCATCTCGCGCAGTTATGGAATACGGTACGATCTGCGCAGCGTAGGTAGCAACAAAGACACCTGAACAATGTAGATGGTTGAAGATTCAACTACCTGAAAATACAAGCAAAACATTGACGTTTCGAGCGAAGGCCCTTCGTCGGGAAGTTGATAGAGTGGGTAGTATAGTGCCAAGTGAGGCGCATTTTTTTTCTTTTTGTGGCTAGAATACGGTACCTCTGTTATAAGGGTCCTTAGATCCACATCAGGAACATCTAATAGTGTAATATGCAATTCATCTTCGATGTTTTCTTCTTTGCTGGATGTGATGTAATGCTTTGCCGCTGGTGACAATCCATATAAACCAGGACCTCCATGCAAGACTGAGTGGCCGATAATTCTGCCAAGAGCTTTGAATGCACCAGTGAGGCGGAGTGTTTGGTCATGCACAGGAAGTAAGTGGTCTTTCTCACCTTCTAAAAAGACAAGAGGTTTGGATGTGGAAGATGGTATCCCTTCTATAATTTTCATAGCATTGCAAAGGAACTCTCTGACAGGCCCAGAACCAACAGCGCCTTCATCTTCAAAACGAACTTTAGGTATTACTTTCAGCTTAGTTTTAGGATTTTTATAAATGCCAATTATATCTCTCCTCATTTCAGAAACTCCGTCCATTCTGCTAACACACAAACGCTGTGTTGGACTCTCCTCATCTATGTTTTTTTGGACGAACTGCTTTAAAGCGTCTCTTGGTGAGGTTGGAGTATGTTCCATATTGTCAAATACAGGTCTTAATAATTGTAGATCATCACCACTTGCATGAATCTTTGTTTGAACCAACAGAGGCAGATGTATCCTCTGTCAATAAATATAAATAAATGACATTTACTGGCAGTACTCTACCACTGACGAGTAGAATCGTCTGGCGTTAGGCAGAGTAAATAAAGTAGGGTGCATTGCCAGTTAATGGGTTAATCAAATTCCTTCATACCAATCTTGCAGTCTGGCAGCTAGGTATAACAGCTGTTACATTTAAAAGGTTTTCTGGTACACTTGCCAAAGTTATGGGTTAATAATAGTCACCCAAATGTGACTATTTTTTTCATACTGTACATATTTTTAAAATGAATCAAATGATATTTTTTTGAAGACAAGTAAACAGTATAACCTGATAATAGATGTTCAGCAGCTTCGTTAACATCACCAAAAGATGTTGACAAAGCATCATGGATTTCTGCATGAGTGGCACCAGGGCACAAATCTTGTAACAAAACAACATTCTGCGAAATTTCAGTTGGCTGAATCACTGCAGTACTGGTTGATGGGCTACAATGAATATGACATATTTAAAAGTTTAAAAATTAATATTTTCAAAACATATTTTTTTTCACACATAAATATTTTACTATGCATAATGCGTAGAAGAGTACAAGTACAACAAAACAAAACGATCTTTCCACTTTAGTATTCGACTCTGTCTATTGCCAGTTGATTTTACTCATTAGTGGAACATTGGGTATAATATTATTAAGTGACACTCAATGATCAAATAATAATTAAGAAAAAAATAAAAAATAATACATGCATAGACATTCGGATCATAACAAAATCTTGCCAATTTATCAACCTGTTAATTTGCTACCATTATAATAATACCTGCTAGAATCAGTTATAGATCTTGCAGCAATGATTTCTTCCAAAGTTATCTGCCTCTGTAATTATAAAAATAGGATATATATATATATATATATATATATATATATATATATATATATATATATATATATATATAT